AAAAAAAAAWTACTGTATCAAATKTAAAAGGTGGTATCATCAAAGTCAAGTCAACTGTATTCTCTGCTATTTCGAATGACTGTTTTACCCAGGACTATTAAACGTGTTGTAAAAGTGTTCCTGGAAAAATTTTTGTGGAAAATGACTGAAGATGACAAACTARGGATTTTCTGCCCAGTATCTAAACTTTCTTTACTCATACTCTCCMGAAGGTGGTTTGTTATATGCTAACATTTCCTCTTTAAACATTCTCAGTCATTCACTTCCTTGTATTGTTTTCCTAACTAAGCAACTATTGTGATTAGCCTTTTGCTTTCAAAACCTTTATTCCATTAACTTTTTAAAAACTATTTCAGATGATTTTGCAGCCCTTCAACTGRTGGACCAACCCTCATCCCAACACACATCTCACATGCACAGTGACTATCTCATCAACTGAATGCAATCAGGCTACACAGGAGGACAGTAGGAAACCCTGAATAATATATGTCTTGTGGTAAGCACTAGACAAAATCAGATGTGAACCTTATGGGGAATAACATTTCAGATTTGTTAAAATGTTCTGATTTGCTTTGATTCCTTAAAATTTTAACAGTTTTAGGTAGAACCTTCCTCTTTAAAATGTGATCTTCCTTCCTTCAATAACTCAGCCTTAATGTGTTGCATGGTTAAAAGAAAAAAACCCAGTAAAAACCGAATTCACACATCCCACCTCCCAATCATTTACTTACTCTTAAAGCCAGCTTTTAGGTGATTTCTTTATACCAAAGAATGCTCTTTTTGCCATTCTACTTTAYCTGTCCTACTGCACACCCCACTTCTCCTTCACTATTTTCTCTGCACTAATCTTTCCTCCATTCCAAACCATATCCTACAGCAAACAACACCAACTGCATCAGTTTTGGATAAAGAGGGCCTTGTCCTCTAAGTAGCACAGATGGGGCTACGTAAGTGGAAATTGTGGTGGCCCAAAGGAGAAWCAGGCCTGTTGGTTTTATTCTGTTTAAAAATTAAAAGTATAAAGCAACTCACGGGTTCTTGCGGTTTTAAGATTCAAGTAACTTCAAGTAATTCAGCTTTTATCTCCCTGCCTTCATTTGTATCAAAGCAGCTACTTTGATTTGTCGCCTTTCCCACCCCACCCCAGCCCCCCACCCTGTTCTTTCTGGGAAACCCAGACAAGATCCCTACTGTACGTGGCTGGCACAATGAACTGGAGCTTTCCCCTTCCCAGCTCAGCAATGAATATAAATAATGCATACACATACCTATTTTCCCAGCTACGTTTTCACAGTGTCATTTTTGTAAATATTTAGGTAGCATGAATCTCATCAGCACAAAGAGAAAGCTTCACTGAAAACTTGTTGCGGGTATTTACTGATAAATCGAAAGCGCTTCTTGCATGCTCATAATTTATTTGTTTCCTTTACGAACCAGAAACTAGCCGTATTTAAAGATTATAGTTACCAGGTTATGACTGTGTTATGTATCCCAATAGCCTAATAGGAATATGAAAGTTAAACACTGTTTTCTCTCGCATCTGTTAATCCTCTCTGAAGCGATCCCTGCAAGAATAAAGGCCCAGGGGAGGCTGTGGGATGGGACCCTTTGGGGCTTTGCATCAGACCAAGTTCTGTTCTGTCAGAAACACACTCATCTTCCCCACCAATCCGCACGGTAACCCTCCCAGCTGTGCTTTCCAGTTAGCTTCTTTGGAGCTGCCTTAGAAAGACAAATGGTTTCTTTAATCCCCTCACAGTCAGCCTTTCCATTTCCTCAACTAAGGCGGAAAACTCCTGCTTTCCGCTGCTCAATGTCATCCTTCAGGCCTGTCACACTGAAAGTGGTTATTGGTGGCCATGTTTTATGTTTGATATGAAAATGGTATTCACAGAATACAGATATTACAATTGAATTCATTTGTCTTCTATAAACAAAGTTGTTATGCAGTAAATCATTCGCCACATCCACTTTTTGATTATTTACAAATTTTTATCAAAAATATGGTATTTACATATGTTTTTTTTAATTTCTTCTAAATTTTGTTTCAGCTCATTTTAGTGTAGAAAAATACCAATTCTCAAGAGCTTTTTTTTTTCTCCCTAGGGAAGCACTACAGTGAGGGATTTGTTTTTAGATAGGCAGCTTCTGGGGGAAAAAAAGCCCACCCAAAGTCACCTTTAACTCTATGGAAAGTGTATARCTTTGAAATCTACAGTGACAATGGAAATGAGAGTGGGATAAACCAAATGAAGCCAAAAGAAAACRGAACAGACATAGCATATCTTCATCCTTTTAGAAAATGTAATAAATAGCTACAGCTGTAGTCCTTTTGTTTCCCCAGCGTCTTACAAAAGCAAACACATCTAAGCATCGGTATTGCCCTGCGATTGTTCTSTTYTTCTTCTTTTTTTCTTTCTTTTCTTTTTTTTTGATTGCTACAGCATTGGCGTCTTACGTKKACATCCTTACAGAGCTCGAGTGGTRTTGGCAGCCTGGCCCTGGCAGCCACGCAGCCTATGTAGAGCTCTGAGAAGAACGATCATCRTGGGGGCTGCCATCAGAGTTCTCGGTCTCCCCCTCGGAGATGGCCTGCATGGGGGTGTTGTACAGCCTGCAGCGCACGCTGTACCGGCTGCTGCTGGCTGCCGGCGGCGCCCGCGACCGCCCCACCCGCGAGGATGCYGACATGGGGAAGTTCTTGGAGGAGAATCCTTCTGTGTTGACCCTGGGGGAGCAGGGGGAGAGCGGGGATAATGCATCGGGGCTAGTCGTGGGAGGAGACTCTTCCATGCTTTGGAGGGTATCCGCTGTCAGCTCTCCAGGAGACTTGGGCAGAATAGGACTTTTCAGAATTTCTGTGGCAGACATCCTGTAGCTGGAATCAGATCGGCTGCCCTTTTTAAGGAGCAGTAGCTTAAACTCTTCATTGGATGTGTTGGACTTTTTGGCATTCCTGTATATGAGCCCGGGGGACCTCTGACTGCTAATGGGAGTGCCCACGCTGCCGGCTGGTGGCATGTTGCTGGTGGGCAGTGTGCTGCTGGTGGGAGGCTGGCTGCTGGTCCCAGATGAAGGTCTCAATCTGTTTCTGACAGAAAGGTCACCAGAATCCTTTCTTCCAAGAACTTTCCTTTTTGATCTGTAAGAACACAAAGGAAAATTATTTCATATGTTATTWTTGTAGTATAATGGTTAGTGCTGTTCTGGAGTTTTCCAGCTGCTTTCATATTAGCCAGAGTTCTCTTAAGTCCTCTGTCAAATATTGGAGGCTGTCAGTGACTCATGGCACTGAGCTGCAGAGTCCCTCTCAACATTACCTAGCTCTTCCAAAACAATATATGCACAACCAGCTCTTCGTAAAGACAGCAATGTGTAAAGAATCTTAGATAATAATAATACTCAGTATAACCTACTCAATATTACAAGACTTTAATTTCAGTTGTGGTCCCAAATTTCAGCTGACTACAAACACTCTAAATTTGAAGGAATGCCTTCTCATCCTTCTTGCTGCAAGAACTTATTTACCAGAAGAGAGCTGGTAGGCAGAAGACAGGAACCACTGCAGGTAGTTTTCTTTTAAGACAAGACATATTTTCTTTTAAGACAAGACATGTTTTTTAGAGAGAATAGTCTGATGTTTTTATCTATAAAGTGTCCTACACATGCCACAAAGATACATAGACTGTGCTTCAAACCATAATAAATCATGTTTTAGAAGKTGCCTTTTAGAAAACTAAACTGAGTTAACTAAAGAAGATAGTTTGAGGACAAGACTTCACCATGGAGTAACCATCCTGCAGCTATCATTAGTGGATAACTGTGCATGTTACCATTCCCCATTGTTGCAGTGGTAGGTCACCTGTGAATGACTGCAAACAGATCCTCMGTAGTGCGGGGTTTGTTTGGAGACACAAAGGCATCCTCTGTGTCAGCCTGTGACTCTTCACTCAGCGGAGACATAATGGACTCATCGCTTGGAGAAGACTCTTAAGCAAGGAAAGAAGACATGTTATGAGTCAGACTTCACTGTGCTTTGCAACAGCACCATCAGTTGGAAGCACCAGCTCTGCTCACAATCAAGCGGCCAGTGTCACCATTCAGCCTTTACCCTCTAATCTAAAAGTTGTGTCTGTTCATGYTGGAGCCCATAAAAGGGGCACTGAACACAGATCTCCCATTTACAGCATAGCTGTGATAAGAAGACTCTTCTATACCCAGGACCAACACTCCTCCCTTTTATCTTTTCAGCTGAAATGCAGCATAAGGGAGGAAATAAATATCAGAAATACRGTGTGAATACTTTGAAAAAGTGTAAATAGCTTTGGGCTGGCTGGCCAGCTAACAGACATGGGCGCTCCTAAATCCACAGTGGGAAGTTGATGGGCCACTCCATCCTGCTTTGTGACTCCACTACCATCCTGTCTAAAGCTCTCTGACTGGCTATGACATAGAAAGAGTTCCCAACTGACCTTTCAGCGAAGGCTCATCTGTGCCGCCCACCGTCTCGTCTGCCCTGCTGTCATCAGAGGCACTTTTGGTTGGGATACCTGATGTGATATCATTTTCCTGCTTGCAACCCTCTTCACTGAGTGAATCCACTGCTGCTATCTCTGCTTCGTAGTTGATATTCCCAGGCACATGGTGGCTTACATCGGGTTGGTGCTTTAACTGATAGGTGATGGTTGGTACCTCAGCCTGAGTTGGGCTTTCACCCGCAGGCCCAGCTTCCACCTTCCCCTCGCTGCCTGTGGAGAGCTCTTGCTGAGCCTGCACTTGCTGAAAATCATGCTCTGTTTCTGCTCCMTGGACAGGTTTCTTTGTTTCATCATCACCTGTGGGGACAGCTGAGCCCTTCTGAAAGCCATCCATGGGGACAGTGCATGTCTGATTCAGAGGGCTTTCTGCTAAGTGTTCAGTGGCCAGGTGTGTTTGGTCCTTCTCAGGTTTGACTTCAASCAGACCCACGCTTGCTGAAGTTACAGCTTCTTGCTCACAGCTATTCTGCCCACTGAAAGAGGAGCTTTTCTCTAAAGGTGGCTTTCCAGGGCCTGCTTCTGCTGGGGACGTGTCAATGTACAGCATTACGGCCTCATCTGTAGAGTACTGGCGTGATACTGGTTTCTTAGCTAAGAGCGGCCTCATTTTGCCTGGAGAGACATCAGTTGTCATCAAGGCTGTCTCCTGTATGCAGAGCAGGTCTGGGGTACTGCCTTTATGTTTCACTCCTTCAGGCTTGTTGACTGCCCGGAGGTGGACAGACTTGAGGACAGAGGGTGTGATGGCAAGGGCGGAGGGAGGGCTGGGCTGCAGGGCTTCCCCGACTGCGCTCTGCTTGCTGTGGCTGAAGGTGTGCAGCTGGTGCCTGTGAGCCAAGGGCTTGCTCAAGACGTTGTGAAGAGCACTTAGGTCGAGGTGAGTAGGAGGTATAATCGGAAGTTCAAGGTCTTTGCTCACTGAGGCRGTGCCATCTTTTGAGAGTGGCTGCTGCAGTGATGACTTCCTCTCTGGTACTTTTGGCTTCCTCTTGCTCCCCCCTGGAGACAGAGGCCCCGAAAAGAAAGCTGTTGGGAAAGAAGAGGTGGGCGTCTCTGACTGGCTGGAGTACCCACTGGAGGGTGAGGCTAASCCCGCCAACTTCTCCGGGGAAGCCAGTTTAAACTCGTTGTCAACAGAGGGGAGGGATGGGGTTGTAGCTCGTGACCCAGACTGAGACGTCTGGGATTCGGAGCTCTCTGGTGACTTGATGCACTCTATGACTGTAGTACCCGTAGCAGTGCTTGAGTTGGACAAGGACCTGTAAGGATCGCTGGATTTCAAGTCATTCAGAAGCCAGAGGTCTGCATAGTGAGGTTGTTCAGCACCTTCATCTTTAAAGGAGGGGATATCGGCGGTRTCAAATGGAGCATCCTTTAACCCGCCATCACCCTGGTTTGTCCAGGGAAGCTCCTGCTTGGCTGGCAGGTTGGGGCCTTCTGCTCGGGAAGGTGTGTTTGAAAACTCAAGGGCCAGCTTCATCTCCCTGGTAGTGTGAGAGACGTGCTGCCCGCCACTGATCTTTGGTTCTTTCTTATCAGGAAGGTCAGTGCTGCCCTCTGATTTCCTCAAAGATGAGCTGCGTTTTGGTGGGGCTGGCTTTGCCTTTGGTTTCTTCAGGGAGATGCTCTGCGGTCCYTGCCTCCTGTGGCTCATGCATTCCTGCCAGGCACAGTCAGCCAGACTGGAAGTCATGCTCCCAGTCTGGCCACTCTCAGAACCTGGCGCTGCATAGTTGCAAATATAGCTTTTACTACCCTTCAGACCACAGTCAAAGTGCATGGACGTATAGTATCCTTCAGTATCCACAGAAAAGTGTGAGCTAGTGTCTGCCTTGTCAGAGGGGGTCTTTTCAAGGAAGCTGTCATAGGTGGCCATGCTGGTGAAGCTGGGGCATCCCAGACTGTCTGCCTTTGGGCGCTCGGGGCTGAAATCCTGGCGACAGGAGGCGTCATGGTGATGGTGCAGGTAGTTCCACTCACTGTCGCTTGTGTTGCTGTTGTTGGGGTCATCCAGTAAATCAGCCACAGTGGATGTGAAGGAGCTCGCCCTGTGGCCCCTGACTTTGTCTGCGTGGTCACCAAACTGCTCTGTGATGAAGACACTGGAGTCCTCATTGGCATTGGGAGCAGTATTGAGCGACAGCTCGGAGTCACAGTGTGAAGAGCCTGTCAGCGGAGGAGAGGCAGCAGGAGGAATGGTTTCAGATGTCTGGGAGGGACACGTGGAGCTGCTCCCGCTCCAGTTGCCACTGGAGGACTGATGGTCATCTTTCTGATCCATGTGGCTGCTGAGCAGAACTCCTGCTGTGGAGATGGAGTGAATTGGGCTCCCGAAGGTGTCTGAGTTGGATGAAATTTCACAGCTGCCTGAATCGACCATCCGTGACAGCTGCGATCTCCCCCTGTCGCCGATGCTGTGTTCGGGGCTGTGCAGGTGCTGAGGACAAGTTAAACCAATGGGCTGGCACTCCTGTGAACCCTGCTTGCTCTCCTTCCCCTTTTTCGGGATTCTCTCCTGACCAGCTAAGAAGTGCTCCGCTTCGTACCCTGTGCTCTTGGTGGTTGCATCCTGATGGCCCTCGCTGGCCCTGGCACCCTCGCGAGGAAGGCTCCGCGAGCGGATGCGGTTGCTCACAGCAGCAGCAAAGACCGCGTCCCCATTATCCGCCAGCACCAGGATGTTGCCAGCAGAGTGGGAGAGGGAGGCCACCACGCTCTGCCCCCGCTGGGCACGGATCCGTCGCCGGGAGGGAGCAGCTATCAGGATTTCTTCTGTCTGGCACTCCGAGTCCCGGGTTCCCAACCTCCTGTTGCTGGAGCCAGAGAATTCCGGGTTTGTGTGCACAATCACATTGCGCTCTCTCGCCACTGGCGACTCGTCTGAATCTAGGACACACGGAAAACTGGGTGAGTGGGGGAGAGCCCACCTTGCCTGGCACGAGACAACCCGCAGAGCAACCCAAGAAGCATTATCTGCTGTATTCTTTCTTTTTTTAATCTTGCTGAGCATTGAGCCAAATTTAAGTTTGCTMTAAAGAATTTATAAGGCAGACCTCCTGCCGGTGAGGTAGGGAAATTCTCCTAGTCCTGCAACATGACTTCTGCAATGCATTCTCAATGTGGAGCTGAGCTTCCTGTGGTAAATATTAAGACAAATACTAAGCTTTCCGTTTTTATCCCTCTATTTCAGCTCCTTAAAGAGTACKTTTTTCAGGAGTCGCTGCTGGACAAAACACTCCATAAGCTTCTAAAAATAACTCTTGCCTACCTGTCTGTTCGGAATTACCATTATCTGCTTCTTTACTATCAAGAATATTTGCAAGGCAAAATAATCTTTCTTCGTAGGTTCTCTGATTGCTTATTTGCTATGATAAACGCATTCTTTCTGCTTCCAGTCAAGTTTCATGGCAACAGACCAAGAAACCAGAGCCATCTTCATGTGCAATGAACATTTAGAAATAATAATTCTGTTAGTTTTGTTTTGGGTTAGTAAGAATTTCACACTGAATTTGCCCCCAACAGAGTTGCTCCTAATTTACCTTGACAAAAAGTGACGTAATTTGGTAGGTTTAAGGCAAATATTCTTGATGATAAAGAATAATAGGAAGGAACTGAGGAGTGKGATAAATAAAGGAGGGTTTAGCAAAGCTCCCATAAGGTACCAGCAGCGGTATCTATGGTGGATATTCCACCACTCRTCTAAATAATCCAGCTATTGTGGCAACTCTTCATCACTTTGCTGAGTAACATCTGTCAGTTCTTTACCTTAAACTCCCCTGATGCAAGAAAAAACTTTCACTCAATCTAGTTACTTTTTATGCACATAACTATGGGTTCATAACAGAAATAAAATGAAAAAGAAAAAAAGAACTGATTAACATTTACACAATAAGAGCTGAACACGTACATCTATATTACTCAGTAAGGCCCCCGGTCCTTCAAGGCCRTATGGAGTAATATAGCTTTGCTTACTGTAATAAATCAAAAGAACAAAACATGTCATTCCTAAACTCCACAAGCATTTACACTTTCAAGGTTTCGTTTCTTTGAATGACTAGCTACCAGCTCATATCCCTGCAATTTAAGTTGGTTAGAAAGCTATCTACGGAAGATTTGTATTTATACTACACCTATTTCTTGTTGCACTCTTCTGGGGATGCCAGAGATGGTTTTCCTCCTCCTCAACTTTCGTCTCCGCTGTAGTACAGATTGTGAATGAACAAGAGAGCAGCGTATACTAGCCTCTCTGTCAAAACCAACTCCTGCAACCCATAAATAGGTCTCATTAGCCTTTAGAAATAGTAAACAAATTTTCATGGCTGGAACACAGTGGAGGTATGTGAGCTTGGATTAAGCCTGTGAATAAACATAAGGGAGCCCTTATGTAGCTCTTATGTAAATTATATCACAGTATATCACAGTTTTACATCTAATTCCAGCTCCCCCTCAGCAGCCTGGTCTGCCAAAAATAACAGAAGGCATGAAAAGAAAAAGAACAGAAAAAAGAAAGAAAATCAGGAAGGCAAATAGAGTTGAGAGCGCTTGGTAGCAGGGCATCTTTCTTATAGCTATTTATCCATCTGTCATAGGGACAGTGACRGTAACTTGTCTGCAAAGCATTATCTGTTCAGCTGTAGCCTGACTTATTTTAAACAACTAAGCGTAAGAAAACATTTTAAGGTTATAATGCCATATTGCAGTAGTTGGGTGCTTCTTAGGAGACCAATATGCCAAGGGAGCTAACATTTCATAAAGGAAGGAGACAGCTAAAATGGGGCCAAGTCACCATGCAAGTTTAGAGAGCATTCTCTGTGACAATGACATGTGGCTACGAGTGACACCAATAGGGAGCTGCTATTTATTTGTGTACATTATGAAGTGGCCTGATCTTCCCATGTTCACAGCACATGGTGGGGGTCTGCTCAGGTGCAATCAAGGCCCTCAGTTAAGATTTAGGAGCACAAGTTCTTGAGTACTTTTGTTTATGGCCACCTTCATACAGTAGAGGTGAGAATTCCTTGTTTTCTTTATGTTTCCGTGGCATTAGCACAGGGAGGTGTGTTTCAGTTTGATTTTACACTGTGTAGTTAAAATAGAGTTAAAAGGAGGCCAACCAGAAGACCAGTGCCTATCTGTGCTGGCTCTTTGCACAGCTCTACACTCACGCTCTCTAAAGTTGACATGGGACACATTGGAAAAAATGTGCCAGGTCCATAAAAACACTAACATAAGGATTGCTGGTACAGTGGTTTGTAATCTTAAGAAAAACAAACAAACTAAACCAAACATAAGGAAAAATAAAATCCTGATAAGAAGCTCTATTTTAATAGCGTATAATTATAGAAAACATAATTATACACAGACATACACATACATATTACATTACATAACAATGTAAAACATTAAAAAGTAACTTTCTTGTAAAAGTTCTTCTTGAAATCTACTACAGTGAAATAGAGGCTTCAGACAGATGTCCTGTAACCACCAATGCCCCTGGAATAAGCAGAGGAAGAACTTTCTTTAATATGAAACAAAAGTGCCGTAAACTCCAACAACAATCATTTTCAAAAAAGTGAACATTTCTCAGGGTTGGGAGAAGCTTAAAAAACAAAAAAACAGAGAACTAAAAGCAAACTTTTTGAAACGAAAAATCAATCAGCATCATTGCTGGTTTTCCAGCAACTGTGAGTTAGCTGAACATGCTCTGTGCTAGATGCACGGGGGTCATCTCTGAGAGGAAAGTGGAAAAGGGTATTTCTTCCCCGTGACGCATACAAATTATTCCCATTAGTGCTAATGAGAATGATACACATAAACATCCAGAAGATTACATACCATTCTTGATCTGTAAAACTGATCAGTGGAAATTTGGTTCCAATGTATGGCAGRTGGAGTCTAGGCAAAAATGGCTATTACTGGTAAAGTTAACATTGGTCCCAGACCTAACTGTCCTCTGGCTGCATTGGGTGACATGAGCCCTGTCAGAAAGCCTGCACTGATTATGGTCTTATATTGAATATAGCAGGAGCATCATTTTACCACCAGCTTTACCTYGTGGAAAATGCCACATTATCTATAACATTCCATGGGGATTTCCAGTGGCAGTGCCCAACCTACGACCTTGACATAGCTGGCTCCCAACCTCCAGCCCAGCAGGTGTATGCAGGCAGTGCTGCCAGCCAGCTGCTTGTCCTTCTGTGGCCAGAGCACTGTCCCAGGCAAAGGGACACCCACTCCTGGCTGCCACCTCCACATGTGGGCAGAGCTGGTGGCGCTGTGTGGTGTCACCTCCTCTGCCAGGATGGAGGGGAAGTGGGACTGTGTTGCTGTCACTGGGAGGATTCATGCAGCTGACAGTGGAGCAGATGGGGACTTGTCACCGTGGTGCTGTAAGACAGACGTGCTGCARGCCCCAAGGCCTTGGCTGTGAGCTGAAGAGGCTGTGGGCATGCAGCCCTCTCCAGCACGGTGGAGAATCCTCCAGCCTGTCTTGCAGGAAGGTGTGTGCACCACGGATGGACATGGAGAAGAACAACGGGAAGTGAGGGGCTGTGACCTTACCTCAACCCCCCAGTTACTGGGAAAATAGAATTAAATACAAATATTTTCWCTGGAGAATGAGGGTTAACTTAAAGCCCCCTGCTTTTTTCCCTGATTGTTTACACTGAAGTCGGTAACTGTGGAAGTCAGCCCACTTTATGCTCTTACGTTAATCAAAACTTGGTACTTGTAAAAATTATTGAGGAAAACTCAGATCAACTTTATATTTACCATAGCCCTCTGGAAGGAAAGAAAGAGAAAAAGAGAAAGAGAAAAACAGCCTGATTTTTGATTCTGGAAATAAGTCATCTGTCACATTTAATGAATGATATATCTTCTGCTTCTATAAACAGATTCTCCTTCAAATAAATCTAGTCAAATATATCCAAATGTTACAGAAATAAGAGAAAATGCCATTACTATACCTTCAGCATAGCTGCATGTAAAGAGATCTCAGAGCGATGGTTTGCAAGCTACACAGKCATGCCTTGCATGTTTAAAGCACTGCAAATAGTAGCCTACATTCTCTAGTTTCTCTTCTCCTGCTACACATGATAATCATATGATTAATTTCGGTGGCTTTCTGCATTATTTCAGTCAGCTATATTCAAAAAGTTATTTGAGGTCTTTGTAAATACAGATYGTAGGTTATATACACAACAAAAGTACATTGTATATACAGGGAACTTGGGTTATTTTACACCATATAACATGACTCTGAAAATATGGGCCAAATTAATCCTAGATGCGGCTTTGGTGACTCCAGCAGTCACGCATAAGGGATGAATTTAGCCCACTGTCTTTCAGAAACTAAATCCTCAAGCTAGGGTCTTTGCCCCCAGACTGCACAATCCCGTGACTTCAAACAAATTAAACAAAATAAGTACTTGACCTCCCTTGAACCATGCAATAAATACAAAAAGAAATAGAAGAGATTTGTACCAGTGACATTGATGGGGATAATGCAAGAAGAAATCACTTGGGCATCTTGTTTCATTTTCTCCTCTGGAGTTGGGAGAGGTAGTGCTTTACTCCAATTGGTTTGTTTATCCAGTGTAGAAGGGATATTATGTATTGGATTTTTCGGCCTCTGCCCTAACATGACATCTGTATCTTCGTCCTCTGGTGGATGGGACTGCAAATGAATACATTCAAAATCAGTGTCTCCCACTCAAGCACACAAAGCTAAGTTTGAAACAAAGCAGACACACAAATCAGAAATCAGTTACAGGGATGCAGCAAGGAATTGTTCTAGCTAARTCACACAGCACCAGCCATTCTCCAATGGAAACTTAACATCCTGCTAATGGAAGAAAAACACCTCAACATACTGGAACTCAGCACATTTACAGTGACATTTACAGGCCATCTCCTCTGTCAGAAGGGGCACATCCTCAATTTGTGCATAGCCTGGCAAGCGTGTCCTCAGTAACCACAACCATTTGACATACGAACTCTCATTTGCAACTGCAACCAGCCTTATACAAGCATTCATTCAAGCATCAGAAGGTCCAAAGTGTTAAAGAAGACCCCTCCACACTTCAGAAAAACCATTTGCATTTCATTTGTAMAAACGCAGACCGAGAGCAGACCACGGTACAGCCACCCAACAGTTGTGTGGTGGGAAGTGGCAGGTATTGACAGTGCTGAGAYAGGGGGATAACAACCACAGGAAAGAGTAGCCACCACCAGAAGAAATTCAAAAGATTGCTTAGAAACCATGCATATTTTTACAGCATATGACAAGAAGTACTAGATGCTGAAGAAACAGAGAGAAAACTAGACAGCATGGAAGAAAGACAGATGGTTGGTTTTCTTTTGGAAGAAACAACAAATCCCCCAATACCCTGTCTTGCAAAGCAAGTGCATTTTCATGTGGTGCTGGCTGCCAACTTGGGTTTGGGGGTCTCTTTGTTTGCAAAAAAAAAAAGTTTCTGTTCTGTTAGGAAGGGACAAAGGGGAAAAACACTTACCTTCACCTTTTTCTGCCTAATTTCCCTCCCTTCTTCCATTAACGCATTCTTCTGTAAGCTGTGACAACTGTCCGGGCAGCTCAGGACATCTGTCTACCTCTCATTTTTTTAAAAATGAAGTGCAATCCCTTTCAGACCGGCTTTCTCTTCAGTCTTGAATTCCCAGCTGCTTAACTACCAGCCTTCTCTCCTTCATGCCWGCTGTTTACACTTTATTGGCCAGTTTTAGTTTCGGTAGCAAACAGGGCAAAAATAAAATGTTGCTCTACATTGCCATGGCAGAGCACTGAGCAGGCGGGTGCTGAACACCRCAGGATCATGCCCTGTCTGCCATTGTACTTCTGCCATTCCCCCGCCCAGACTCCTCACAAATCCKGGGGGAATTAACCATCTCAGGCTTGCCAAACAGCATTTATGTCCTGGCCCCAAGAGCATTAAAGATMTTAACTCGGCAGCCACTATTTAAACTGTTGGAGGGCACTTACTTACCTTGGCAGCGTCACCTCCTGCAGCACCCCCAGACCCAAGACAACGCGCGTTTCCTCTTCTCCCGCCCGCAGAAAACCCCCTTTTCCCACGTAGGATTTCAGTCTAACATTGCAGCCTCCTTTCTGCCTGCAGCTTTTGTGCCGATTCCCGGCAGACGTGAATAGCTCATATAAACTTCAAGCACAAAAGACTTTGTTTCCTAGGTAACTCCCCCCCCCCGCCCTAAGTTTGATGCATGCATGCAAAAAAACCCACCCTTGCACACACGCACAGGCACGTGGGCACACACACACACACACACACACACACACACAGAGGCTGCATTTGGTGCCGAATCCATCCTTCCCTGGATGACAATGAAGTGCTGGACAAAGTGGGCAAAGTGACCCTGGCTGCCAGAGCTCCTCCTCTCCAAACTGTGGCATCACCAAATGGCCAGAGATATATAAATACCTGCTGTCGGTGTGGCATTGTCCGAACCATTTCTTACCGCTTAGGGAAAAAAGAAGGGGCAATTGCAAAACATTGCAAGAGAATTAAATGCAATTGCTAGTGCTATTGAGTCTGTAYCAGTTCAGGCCTTTTAAAGGAGGTGGTAGGGGGAGGCAGCTTTGTGGCCTTGAGCTCCTAWAACCCATCCAAAGCAAAGAATGAAAAAAGGGGGAAAAAGTTATTATTGTGTCTTACTGAGATGAGAAAAACAGAAATGGCTTCTTTTAGTGAAGTTAACAAGTGAAAAGCAAGCAAGAGGAAGGATTAGGATCTGGAAGGGAGAAGAGTGAGACAGGGCTGTTAATTGAGGATTGCTTGTTTTTCCAGTACCTTTCTACTCCAGGGGGTCATGTGGCAACACTCAATTGGGGAGGGCGAACGGGTGCTGTTAAACTATAAATGTGAAATGTGGGAAAAAAAAAATTAAAATTAAAATTAAAAACATACACAAAACGATTCTGGTAAAAGCACACAATTTTTGTCTGGATAAATTAGCAACAGAGCCAAAATGAGCAGAGCTTTTCACCCYGTTTCCTACTGATGGGTTTATTCCCCACAACAGATTGGTTTGGACCCCTGTGAAATCTGTGCTGATTTTGCTTACTTGKATTAGACAAAACTGCAGCGAAATTCGTTCAGCCTTGTACAGACATGTTTAAATTGTCCCAAGAATGCCTTGTATCAATTTGGTAACTCAAACTCTGTTCTGCCTGGAGCTGAAGCAGTGCAAGGTACATATGCAACTACATTATCAATGCAAATTATTTTTCAATATTATTTTTCAGTTTTAAGGAAATGGGTATAAATAATKATGCTGATGGTGATTTATCAAATACATTGATTACTATGCATTTCTGATGATATTGTTGCTTCTCTTAGATTGCAATCATTGAGGCAGGGTGACAATGACCAATTGGCTTTTTGTCACTTTTTATAACACGTGAAAGGACAAACAGCGATAGCCACAATGCCCTGGGTCTTGCTGAATCCCTACACCTCCAAAATCCCTTTCTTCCAGAAACTCTGGTTTGCTCATTCCGACATCTGGTTTTCAAAACCAAGGGGTGAAGAACAACTGATTTCTTTTGAAATAGGAAATCAAACAAAAAAAGATAAAGAAAACAGGTCTGTTGACCACCCWGGAAATCTCCAGCATGTGTTTCTTGGTAGGGGTTATTATCTCTCCCTTTATTAGTTAGCAGACTATTAAAGCCAAATAATTCTGTGAATGTTTTTCCTCCCAATCATCATGAATCATTATCGACACTGCTGTGACAGATTAACAAACCTCAGTTTGAAAGACTTTGGTCACCTCTCAAAAAAAACCCCAACAAATTGTAGTGAGAGTCTCAAAAGGCCTAATCCTCCATCTCAACCTACTCTCTTCCTAGATATACAACATTTCTTGCTTTTTCCTGGTTCCCATATGCCTACAGGAAGCCTCCAGATGAGTTGTCCATAAGCCTTCCAGGGGAGCAGAGCAGGGGAAATCAAAAGAGAGCTGTTCCCGGTGAAGATTCCCAGCAGCTTTAGTTTTTGCCCAGGCCAATGGAAAAACAGTTCTCCTAAGGTGGGAGAAGTCCTTAACTCATGAGCAACACCTCTGTTCATGCAGCAAAGGCTGTGGAGATACTGAATACATCAATCATTTCAGTCTRCTTACTCCTCAGGTACCTCAGGATGATTTCACACTTGGTCCTCTGACCAAGCTTCCAATCACCTGCTGTAAGCAGACTGACTGCAGTTACCAGGACACTTGAAATTCAACTTCCTCATGGCAGGTGCCAGAGGATCTCTGGGGAGGTTGAGATGCTGCTGAGGTGGCAAGAGTTGAGGATATGAAAACCTTTGCAATATCCCATGGCCTGTGATTGCCAGTGCACAGGGAGAAGAGGACAGGAGGGACCTCCTGCCCTGAGCTGCGAGCACAGCTACACACACACACACACACAAGCCATTTGAGGGCAAACCTGTCCAGGAGAGAACCAGCAGGATCTGAGCTTTGGTCTCAGAGATACTGGTGTTGGCTACAGTCGAGACAAGCAAGATCCAGTTGCCCATCTGCCTGTCCTGTCAGTGCAGCACTGCTCTCCCTCACCCCTGGGCCCCCTGCCAGGTGCCTCTGAGAAAACACCCATGTGGTTCCATGCACCTACAGCCATCCTTTGATGTACCAAAGACTCAGGTCCCGCTTAAGCACAGCAGGACAAACTTCCTTGGTATATTCCTGTCATTAGGGATAGGACAAGAATGAAGGTGATGGGCAAAATTTCCTTTTCTGTTGTCACAGTTGTGCTCCTGAGAGAGCTGGTGCTAGCACTGCCTTGCCAAGGGCTCCTGAGGTCACCCAGTGCCTGTTCCCACCTGGTGCCTGTTCCCACCTGGTGCCTGGCGCTGGGGCAGAGCAGCAGCCTCAGCATTCAACACCTCCATGCTGGGGGATGGAGTGAGCTGCTGCCTTTCAAAAGTTCCCATTCACTCAGAAAACCAAAATACCTCTGAATGTCCTGAGTAAACACGTAATTAAGCAAGAAATTATTATTATAAACCCAAGTCTGTTCTGGTCTGAWGGGCAAATCTGAAGTTAGGCAGATTTAAAAGTGAATTTATTTTGTGTGGGTGTGCTTGGCAAACAGAAAGAGTGATAATCATTCTGTTAAATACAAAACCAGAATACTTTAAATGTGCATTTTCTTTAATGGGCTAAGATTGCTTTGAAACTAAACTGGGGCATAATTGCTTGAATAGGGATTTGTCACTGACATATGTGAGAATTTTTATTTCCTGAGCGATCCCATCAACCTCACTTGCAGTGGTGCCATTGTGCTTGTGAAACTGCCTTGCAGTAAAAATCTTGTTGCATATGCACATGATCTGATTTCCCAGGGCTCTGCATCACTTCAATGTGAAAGTCTTTGGCTTCTGTGCACTACAACAAAATAGTCCAAGCTGAGCAAGTCAACAAAGCTTTCCCTGTAGAGAAAGAGACAGTGGCTCTGCTGAGGAGCAATTTCCTTCAGCACGTAACTTGGGATGAGATGAAGCACCCCTGAACACTCTCCCCYTGATTTTAGGAGGAGCGTTACTTGTACATATCAGATCTCACGATGAACAGCTTTAATGAATTAAAATTTTAAAATATCAGGACAGTGACAAAGAAGCGAATCAGCAGTTGACAAACTTGCCAGCCTGGCAATTTATGRGTCTGCCCCATTTATTGTCCCAGAGCTGGGAGCTGGTGAAGGAAATGAATGGGTCAATAATAGGACAAAAATGCAACTTCTGCTCCTCTTTTCCACCCCCAAAGCTCTAAGATGTGACTGTTGTTGAGAATCTTCAACACATAGGAAAGAGTGGTTCAAGAAGCATAATTTGTATTAAATMATGTACCTAGCCTGCCTTTCCTATGGTGATTGCCTTACAGAAGTTTCTTGGATTTCRAAATTAGTGCACAGGGCCTATGTGACACAGTGCAATGGTGATGGGAAAAACATAAACCCAAAACCAAAGAACTAAATTTTCTCAGTTAATTAAAGATTGAGAGTGCTAAAGCCTCATTGAGAGCATTTATCTCCAACATGTTTGTTGAATTTAGACAAGGCTGAGTTGATTCCTWCTCCCTCAGCTGTTTGATCAGGCAGGCAAGGTGTAAGCTCACAGGAGATTTGGGTGGCAATGTCACAGCCCCCAGGGCTGGCACAGCCTTGGTGAGGGCAGGAGGCGGCTGCTGCACAGCGCTATTCTCTGAAGATTATTTCTGACTCCTGCTGCCTAAAAGCTGCAGCTAACAAAAGCACAAGGGATCAATATTATTTCTGACTTCGGGCTTCTRTTGCAGTAGGTGGGGGAAATTTCCCTCCCAGGATAACTTTATGAATAAAGTGGGTGATACTCAGCCAAGCAGAACATCGTCATGTAGCTTCAGCTTCTGCCAGCTTTATAGATTCTGTTGCCTCCAGCGAACAGAATGTACATACAGTTTGCTTTCACCCTATGGGAGCACAGAAATAAGATGTACAGTACATTCTGATGTCTCATTTGAGAACAGTCATTCATGCACTGAACAGGCCACATGTGGAATAACTGTGAGTTAGTGTTCAATCCCACATTCACAMACAGTGCTGACTCCTGGGGCTCTGGTTGAAACCTCTCTGTCTCCACTCTCTCTGCCTGTGAAATKGAGAGCCTGCTGCTTCCTTAACTCAACAGGGTTAAGGAAAATTATATTTATTTACATGTTAGAAAAACTGAATGTCTAAAGAAATAGACCTAATAAAAGGCTAGCAKCTTCCCAGTGTTTTCAGAGTGCAATTGACTACTTAATTAGAAATTCATAACTATACAGCAGCTTTCTTACACAGTGAACTGATGCTGAAGAGAAAATATTGGGAATATTTCTGACTGTGCTATTTCTGTTGCAAATCACAACCCTGCTCACCTGCCTGCTYCCAGTATTTATATTTCTGTATGTTTCCTTCTCCTCAAGGTTTTATTTTTTCTGCTTGTGGGTGTTTTCTTTTCTTTTGGAGCATCACAAATGCGATCAGTTAAAGTACTGACAATCCTTTAACGATTACTGTACTGCTCCGGTGTTTTGACAAGGTAAAGATGAAACTAAGACATGTTTTGTGACAGAAGTCATACCACACATGGCATTTCAGCAGACAAAAGTACAAAATAAACATCCCACAATACAGGGTGGTAGGTATTAGGCTCAWTGCACAAATAGTGCTATACAAGTTCAGTCTGATGAATAATGTCAGGTTTTATTTCCAACAGCTTCAGGCAGGATTTGCACACAGAAAGTGCAGAGCCCAACAWATGCCTGTCCTTTAATTCAGTTGTTTCTTACTGAAGCTTCATCTGGCTTCAGCACAAAATTGTGTAAAGGTTAGTACATTCAGTTGTACCTCCTAACCTTTGCTGTACAAAGCATCCTAAAGCAGACCATGGAGAGTATTTTGGAAATGGCAAGGAAATGGAATAAAATTACYCAATACATTATTTTCCCTTCACATTTTCTCTAGCTGAGGCCTCAGGGAGAGAAAAGCCCCATCTGGAAAAAAAACCTCCTGCTTCTTGTCCCTCAGATTACTGCTCAGATTATAATTTTGAATAAACTAATGCTGAAATTTATGCAATTTTGAGTGTATATTTCCAAATATTGGGTTCCTTGCTCCATCTTCTTGTTTTTTTTAATAATAGCTGGGCCACGTGAGGATTGAGAAAGTGTGGCCCCATAACATTCTGAACTGAAATACTGAAATTCCAGAGCCTTGCTTGTTGGACTTGGGGAAACCCAAGAAAAAAAAAAGGTGAAAAAAAATAAAGAGAAGTCTGAAATGCAGTTGGAATGACACAGCATATTCACACTCAGTGACTGGCCTCAGCAGTGCTACAGGCAGGGTTGTCATGGGAACRTGTGTAAGAAATATTTCCCTCATTTTAGGAAGTCCATAACTTTCTCATASTCTCCTCACATGATTTTTGGTTTGATTTAGGTTTTTCTTTTTCTTAATTGGCAAAAATGCCTGAATGAATGATACTTTTAAATATGTTTGTTGGGTATTTCTTTAATGGAGAGAGAGACTAATTATGCCAGTTTTTTAGCTTTAGAAATGAATGACTGGATAGGAAATGAATGAATGGATAGGAAAATTAAGTGAAGCCTTTAAGTGTCTGCAAAACCATGAAGAGTGTGGAGAAAGGGAATGAGAAAGCAACTCTTACTGTTTCTCATAGTTTGAGAACCAGAAGGGATATGAWGAAATTATGAGGTATTGGGTTTGAAACAAAACATTTTCATACAGATTTTTAAAGTCATTGTCACAGGATGCTGTTGAGGCTGAAGGTGTATATTTGCTAAAAAAACTAGATTAAAGAAATCTCACAGTCAGCACAGAGAGGTTCTTTGGTTGCTATTTTTTTGTGTTTGATCTCTTGTTCAGGAACTTTGTAACCAGTTTCTGTATGAAACTGGAAGGATAAATCATGGGACAATGAACAGCTTAAAAYATGCCCTGTTCTTATACTCTTTCCTGAAGGATCCTCTTTCTGGCTTTTGGGCTAAGTGGACCTTTCATCAGGCAAATCAGGGAATTTCCTGTAACAAGAGCAGACATGAAAGAGCCTATGCCATTTCTAGTTTTCTACTCTTTCTCTGCAACAAAATGATCTTGTGATGGAACAGTCCAAAATGTCCTTCCACACGATTTACACTGGCATTACTTGCTTTCAACTTGAACTCATTTGTGCTTTCTTGGGATTTGTGGGACTTTGGCATMTTTCTCCTGTGAACATAGTATTGTTTAAAAGTGAATCTTCACTTGTGATTGATTTTTTCTAGTTTTACTATACAATATGCAAGATCTTTGGAAGAGCTCATAGCTACCTAATTGGTAGCAATAAAAACAGCAAAACCCCAAAAGGTACACATGTGGGAGACTAGTCTTTGATAGAGGTGACCTGTTTTCTCAGTAACTTTCAGTAGTGGCAGTTCCCACAGGTCTCACAGTGGTAACCCGAACATTCTTCAAAATGAAGTTTCTTATTTGAGTATCTTAATATGTGCATTTAACTTWGATAGTCAGTTTGGAAAAGTCAGATCCTATAACTTTCAAAAATTTCCCAGCTTCTTGCTGATCCATTTTCTAATTTCAAAGAAACATAGAAAGGGACTTCTTTTGTTGTTTAGTATTGCTCCCTTCAGCACCTTCCCAATGCATCAGMAGAGTGGAATACCCAACATACTGTTATGCCATAAATAAAAATTCTTGTGGATTTAGCATCTTTAGTTAATTGATGACTAGATGATACCATGAGCTGGAATCASATATCAAAAATTACTGACAGTCCCTGAAGCAGATAAACTTTTGCAGATGTCAAAAAGCTTATACCAAAAAGAGCAAGCTAGCCAATAACAGCATTCTCAACTTTCTCTTGTAATGGTATCATTAAATCATGAAGGCTGGCACAGTATCCATTAACTATTCACTGTTGCAGTGTCTTGTAAAAATCTCTGATTAACATCCTGCCAGACACAGAACACTGATGTGCATCTTCATCTTGCCTTATTCTCTGTAATTTTTAAGTTGCCCGATTAGCAAGGGGTTTTCTTAGAAATGGGTCACAGCACTTTGAAGTACTCTGGCCTTGGCGTATTTACAATTTTCAGAGCAGAGCATTGCCAGATGCCTTGAAATCAATAGAATGACAGCCCTCCAAGCAGCTCTTGTTTGCTTCTCCTTAGGGGAACACTGARCCTGATCAGCTTCCCAAAGGAGGTCTGATATGGGTGGGCATAAAGCTTAATATTTTCATCCTTGAAAAGATAAAGGTGGACTTTGAGACATAGCCAAGACATCTGCATTCATCATGACTTATTTTTGTCAGCTAATACAGGACTCTGAGGGTTGCTCTCTGTTATTATTTTGTGTTCCACAGATGGAAGTAATGTCTAAAATGCACTGGTTGTTTTCCAAACACAGCAAAGAGGCCTTTAAGTACTGTGTATGCAATTTCAAAACAGATGTCTTGTTCCCCATCTGATACTAAGAGAGCTTTATTTTCACTGGTCTCTCCAAACTATCATCTGTAACTAGTTCTGATCCTGAACATGGCATCACCTTCCCTTTACCTTTCAATGACCCTACAACAGCACTAGCTTTGGTGATGATTTAAAAAGAAGAAACAGGTAATCCTGTTTCTTCTTTCTATCTTCAAATTCTTTTCTATGCTGTCTTTTAACATGAGGATATAGTCTTTAAGTTGAACTGGAAATTTAATGTGTTCAGAGCCCTGCAGGGATGGTGATGCTGTCCTCAAAATTAGCCAGAKAAGCAGCCAAAACTAAAAAAAAAGCAGCCAAAACAGTCAAAGTAATCCCAACCTTTTAATGTATTTCTTGTTTTTTAAATGAGAAACAAAACTTTTCCTATGGACTGTTTAGCTCATGTTTTGGTGTCTGGGCGGGTGTGACTCGTTTACATTGAGTCTTCTACACTGTGAGTGCWTTAGCATTATAGTATTTAAATATGGTTAATACAATGGATTAGGATGAATGCACTTGAGTTTTTAAGCTAAGTAAGTGATGATTCAGTGTAGTTACTGAATAATCACGGAGCTCACAATTTACTCACAGGTGTGGCATCTCTGGAGATGCCAATGTCCCTGTCCTGGCAGCGGCAGAACAGATCTGTCCCCATCCCCACCCCACTGAGGGCTGGCATTAGACAAATGCCTCATTTCAAAGTCAAGTCCAGGTCTGACCTACAGCTTTTAAATRATGCAAGGGCTCTTAGCACAGGGCAAAATGTAGCTACTGTGACACTTCTGTGAGTAAAACACCCAGAGCCACAGAAATACCAAAGTCCAGCTGAAGCYGCTGGGAATTACAGACCTAATCAGAGTTAAAGTTATCAATCTAGCACATTTCCTTTAACAATGATAAATACCATGTTGTCAACACTGATTTGATTTCAAATTAATSCAGCAATGGCAAATCAGCACAGACATACAGGACCAGATCATCAGCTGGAGTTCCTGCTTGGCTGGTTGCAAGGACATGTGTGAGACATGAAACATCCAAAAAAAACTGCATGGAGGTGAACAGCGCAGAACAGGACTATGGAAAGCGTAGCTCCCTGTAGATGGAAATGTGCTCCTGAACCTATCTGCACACACAGAAGCCTCAAGACAGCACTCAAAGCCCTTGAGCTCTTGGCTCCTGGCAATACTAATGCCAGGGCTGAAATTACAGCACTTTCTGAAATTACAGGAGGGTCCTCAAAGTGCTACCTCGACAGCCTGAGTGGCGAATGTGAAGSACTGTGGAGGAGAGCGTGAAAGAGAGCACGTGTGCTCACACGGGTGAAAAATAAGAGGTTTCTGATTGAAAACATCCATCCTGGGGCTGGCTGCTGGAAGCTGTGCCCTGCATTATGCTGCTGRCAGTCTTTAAGGTCAGCTCTGTCATACCTGCACTAGCTTGGGGAGGGGCTCTTGTGAAGCACTGTCACTTTAGGTCCCACCATGCTGATAATGTGTTTGTGTGTGGTAGCTGTAGTGAAAGACTTACTGGTAGCAAGTGCCGGTCCTTTATCGCTTGCCTCTTTTGGCTGCAGATTGCAGGGAAGGGAGGAAAGGGGGGAGCCACCACAGCAATGGGGCCTTGGACTTTGGGCTCTCTGTTATCCCCTCGGCTTCGATGTTCTGTTTTGGATGAGAAAGAAGACATGAGTCTTTCAAAGTGTTAAAAACATACAAGTGTCTCTATTAACAGCACAACAGAGACAGGAGCAGGACAGCTGACACCAAAGACAAGGTTCTCYTCTTTCCCTTTGCAAAGGGGAGAAGCACATACTGGACATCCATGTGCCCAGAAGAGCAGTGCCCCTACAACACATCCCAAAATATGCACTGAAGCTGAATTATCCCCGAATGAGATTTATATTGTTTATCCCAAGAGACAAAGGAGCTGCTTTCCAGGCCCTTGAGATCCAAGGCCTGATTTCCAACAGGAACCTGCAGCTCCTATTGCTTTGAAATACTGAGATGCAGTAATGTCTGTATTCTACCCATATAAAATATCTCTCTCCTGGTTAAACAGATAAAGAGATAATGAAATTCTGATAGAAGATAGAGTTGAGACACAATAAACATGCTTCGAGTAAATTTTAGATYATCATTTCGTTCCCATATATGCAGCTATTTGGAAAATAAGAAAATGAGCACATGACAAGCTGCCTGCTGAACMTGCACAGCTGCCATTAAATGTGAAGGACGGGAAATTGCCAAAACTGAGATTTGCAGCTTTAAAATGATGAGACATTTTCTGACAGCGGCCTTCCCATGTTGCTGTCAATATTTCGTCTGCCCACAAGATGGCAGGCAAAGATCAGCCTGGATCTGAGACAATTGTAAAGCAGAGCTGCTGAGAACAGAAGAGAACTTSTGCTCTACTCCAGCACTACTGTGGCTGCAATTTGGCTGTACCCCTCTCTGCTCTGCCATGAAGATATACTGCACCCAAAGCGTGTTCCTGACCTAAAACCTGCAGAGATGTAAAATGTGGTAATTAATGGGAACATCCTATCCAGCTAACAGATGCTCTGCAGTTCTAAGTAATTAATTATTATTATAAATTAATAACAATAATAAATGGGCAAGGCAATTAGAGATGTTGGTGTAAAACACTTCCAAGACAGGAGGCTGCTGCTGAACATTTTAAGTGTGACCTGCATGAATTTTCTCCTTGTGGCACAGAAGAAAGACAGGCTTGTTTGCCAGCTCTGACTTGTATCCTGGTAATAATTTTCCCTTGGTTAGGTTCCCAGTGAAAACAGACCTTTCCCCACCTTTTGCCTTCCCTTTAGTGTGCTGTTGCAGGACCATCCAGATGTTTGCATCYAGTGAATTCTCTTTATGGCAGGGATCCAGGAGCCTGGTTATGACCCTGATTGCTCCTGCTTCCTCTCTCTGTTGCTTTGAGGCTACAGGTCTGCAGTTTGTTAGGCAATGTCAGAAAATGTTCCCTGCCTGGGAAGGGAACGCCTGCCCAACCCCTGCTAAGCTGTCCAGGATATCAACCCCCTGAAGGACACAGGCATCCTCCAGTGCCATGSTTGGAAACCCTGAGCAGACAGCTCAGTTTTTGTGGAGACTAATCCACTGGGCTCCAGTTCCAGCCCTGGTGAAGGGCATTKGGATTAGATAAYCTTTAAGGTGCCTTCAAACCCAAACCATTCTGTAATTCTACAGTTCTGTGATTTCTTAGCCTGAGTTCCTAAGTCCCAGTGGAGACGAGTGTCCACAGYTGTGTGTGCTTGTGCCTGAGCATCCTTCTGCTGCCTGGGTGGACCCTGGAGGGTGTGAAGTGTGTGGAGCTGGGCTGTGAGGAGCCCCTACCTCTGCGCAAGGCTCGCAGGTGCTGCTTGGCGTGGTGGTGCAGCTCCTCCACGCAGGGCGGTCTGGTGGAGGGGAGAAAGATGTTTCTTTGCTGATGCCAAGGTGCTCGGTAATARACACTCAGTTTGCTCTCTGCATCAAGGTTGGAGACAGCTGTAGGATAAAACCAGAACACAGGGTAAGATTTCTGGTCTCTCTTCCATCAAGCTAGCTGAAAAACAAAGGTKCTTGCTTGGAACAGCATTGTCAAGAACAGGCACTGGGTTTGTTACAGCACCTTTACTGCCATCAAATGTAAGTAAATATTATCTTCTCTGTTTCCACATCATGTTATACCATGTTAGCATTTAGACCATGCCCTGTTATCAGATTGCAAATGGCTCTGTGGAGGCAAGCAGGTGAAATGATACTGTATCAGTGTTTTACATAAAAGAACCGAAGGGATAATAATTTTATAGATGGCAAAACAAAACTGCAAAGAAGCTACACAATCTTTCCAGAGTGACATTTTGAGCAAAGGCAGTAGGAGGAATARGTCTTCCAGTTACCCATTCTCCTGCCAATATGCTCTTTCACTACATCATGTCACACACAACTAGTTTCTGACACAGGTTGSTAGTTCACTGCTTCCAGGGCATAACGACTGGGATTAACTGCTTGCCCTGCAGAGAGACGTTAACTGTTACCTATCCAAAGAGGTTCCCATAATAGACAGGGATTTCTGAAGCACAGAAACACTTCAGTTGCTCTAAAGAGAAATCCCAGAGGTCTGCCCCTGAAAGTTATATGAACCAAGTCCACTAAAGGTTTGAGTGAATTTCTCAGGAGCRCTGGCATTCATGGGAGTCCCATGGGCTATGCCCAGCCTCAGCGAACACAGCAGCAGCTTTCCAAGGGCCAGAGCAGAGTGGAGGGCCATGGGAGATGGCAGCACTCTGCCCCAGCCAGCCACAGGGAGCAGGCTCATCTTCAGCCCACAAAATGCRGCAGAGCAGGTGGCACATCCTCAGGTACAGCCCTGGGCTGGATCCTTCTGCCACAGGCATAGACACAGTGTCTGGTGTCAGGCCAGGAGCTGCTGCTGCTCTGCTCACAGGGCAGCACAGGGGACAGACAGGGGACAGACAGGGGACAGACAGGCACCCTGGTGCACAGGAGACACCTCCCGGGCTCCCCTTCCCAGTCAGGAGCCAGTGTGCTTCAGGCTGGTCCCCAAACTGGCCATGCACTCCTCTCCTTTGCACTTTCAGGGCTACTCTCCTGCTTTTGCACTCTTTTTTGAGGGGTRGCCAGTGCATCATGGCAGAGAATGGCTCTCTGGTGGAGTTGCTTTGGTCTTTCTGGTATCATTGCTTTCTTTCATGCAAAACCGCATTCACTCAGCCTGAAGACATATCACTGCTTTGTATGAAGAAAGAACTGAGCAAATACAGTTGGAGAAGAAGGAGGGAGCAGACAGAAGAGAARAAAACCTAGGAACCATGCTGCCATGTGTGGGATGATGAGAGACTACCAGTTTCTTTGATCAGAAAAAAACCCAGCAGTTCACAACACTTTGTAGGTGTCATGATGGAAGTGGTGGAATCATATGATGAACAGACCTTCAGGTCCTCAGAGCTTCAGCAACAATGAAGAGACCCCAAACTCTCTGTCTGATAGGGAACCTTGCTTTACTTCTCAGTGGATTTCTGCACGGGAGGTTTCACTCAGTTTTCAGCACAGTTGCAGTGCTGCTCCAAGCAACTGGCATGGTGTCAGTGGAAGGAATGGCACCGGGGGGGAGAAAAAAATTATAGCAGAGGAAGGTAGTAGGATGAAYGATGGCAACCTGTCAGTGCTTGCTCATCATGAGGATTTGCTAATTAAATTTTCGACATTGCAAAAACATAATGTTGCCAAATTGCAGRCAGAGCTTTTGATGGCTTGTCTGTCTGTTACCACTGCAGTAGGGAAATACCTCACGTGCAGCAGCTGCAAGATTTTATATCTCCTTTACCCCTTGAAGGTAACAAAGCACTATGTCTGTTTTACATGCAAGGTACTGAGACACAAAGCAACTTGCCCCAATCCTGTTCTGAGCCACACTTCCTCCTTGGGAATCTCAGCTCAGGACAAARATTTGTAAGCAATAGTAATGATACCCCACCCATTCTTTGTATTGCCAAGGGCATGTGATAKTCATGATCACAAATTGTACCCTGGAGGCTAATGAAAAGGCAGGCACAAGCAGTTCCTTCCTACTCCCAGAAAAATCTGTCTAGACTGAAGCRCTAGTAGTTGTCTGTGATGAATATCAGTAAGTGAGTGGAAAGTTTTACCTACTTATGAAATTTTCAGACATTTCATCAGACWAGAATAGATTTTGCTGCAAAAATTAGCTTGTAGAAAGCTCTTTTGGCTTTGCCAACGGTGTTTTACAAGTAAGAGTAGAAGTTGGGTTAAAATACTTCGTGTGAGACTTAAAAATGAAACCAAGTTCATACAAGCTCTGCTACACACCTACTGCTGTAGACACACACATTGCTGTTGACAGACCAAACAGCATGACTTCTTAGCCACCCAACAAATGTCCCTTAGCCAGCAGACCTGGCAGAGCTGTGCACAGTGCTCTCCCAGGAGAAAAACCACAATTATATTGCTAATCTTCAAATGACAGGGCGTTAAGAAGCTTAGCCCTGTGCTATGGCCCCAGCCAGCACTCATTCCACATCTTTTTACCTTTCCCTGCAGGATCTCTGATTCATGGTAACAGGGAACATACCCCCCTGACACCAAGAAAGCAGAAATGGTGCACAATACTCATTGAACTGACCAATCCTTTAAAATACTCCAAAGCTGGAGTGGATTTTCTAGGAGGTCCAGAATAGAAATAAAAGTGCTGGCAAAAAAAGCCACAAGGGGATGAATGTTCTCAGTCTGCAGTGGGGAAGAAGCCCAGAGGGAGGGAGCAGCTCTGGGTAGGGTGGAGGACATTGCTGGCCCAAGGACAAATAAGTACAAACCCACAGCGAATGCAATTAGTCTGGATGTTTGAGGAACAGCATCCCAACCTCAGAGCAGCAAAACTCTGAAAAACACTCCTGGAAAGGAGAAAGAGGAGAAAAGCTACCCAATGAGTAAAAGCCTCCCAAAAGAGGGACCTGCTTCCATTWCATTCATTGTGCATTGTCCTTTGCACGTCCTTCCCTGTCCTTTGCACGTTTCCCGTGTTTCTGCAATGACATTTCGCCCGGCCCTCGCTGATTGCCCCTGGGAACTGGGCACCACTGCCGGGAGCTGAAGCCAGAGGATGCAACCACAGAAGTAGACTGTGATCTTTCAGGACTACTGAACATCTAATTTTCTTCCCAGAATTGAATCTCTTACTTCCACTAAAAGAAAAAGCCAACCCTGTGGCTGGGTAATTCAGCAGACAAAGACCACTGGGCTGAGGTCTAGAAGAAATGTGCAGTCAAAGCTTTGCCATATGCTTCTGCTAGGAGCTGGCGTTAAATATTAAGATTCCCTATGCCTCCRTTCTGTGGAGTGAGGATAAGGTATCTCTTTCAGCCAGCACTTCCTTCAGTCAGTGTTTTACACTGCAGGCAGTTTGTACGATGCTGAGYGTGGCTGTAGCCCCTCAGCATCATCGTTAACAGGCATAATAAATAAAGCAATATAGAAACTGTAGAGCCACAGTCTTTAAGTGATGAACAACTGGACATCACTGAATGAGAAAAAAGCCTATTCAGAGATAGGAAACGCTGCATTTCAGGCATCAGATATAGACTGTTAACATATTTTTAGTGTGTGCTTTGATCAATTTAGACTATACAAGTGAATCATATAAACTATCACTTCATTTCATTCCTGAGTTAAAGTAATTGTTTTTTTTGTCTTGTGGGATGACAAAATGACAAGAGACCATTTAAATGGATTCTYCCTTACATTCTGTGGATCCATTAACATTGGCTGGTTTCCTAACAACCAKTGTCAAACAGACATACACTAATGGCTATTCTCATGAGAAGATTTTTGAAGATTTCCAAATTGCCATTTTATTGAAGTTGATCGTATTTATCATTTACAGAACCTTCCCTTCTCGTCTTCACATCCTCTCACTCTCTCYGTCCTTTAGCCAAGCAGAAAAAGGATCCTGCCATAGCAGAGCTGGATGTGGATGCTTGAAGGTTGTGCGGCTTTAGTGCACTCAGGCGTGGTTGTTCTAATAATAACACCACAAAGGCCAAGCAAAAAAGATTTCTGCTCTATTTATTTGATAGATACATGGGTTCCCCCCCCGCCCCAACTCCGTCTGCTTCTCTAGACRCTTGCCTCCCCCCTTCCCTGCTCCTTCTGTTTCTCAACTTTCTATTATTTCTATCTGTATTATAGTTGCTATTAGCTGTCAGGGGAAGAAAGGAAAAAAAAAGATAATTTCCTATGTTTCCTGGTTCAGAGAGAAAACACGATTTGTTGTAAGGTGTGAAGAAGTGTGCAGCCTGGAGGGAATTGGAGTGGTGAGCGAGGAAGTTGCCTGCATGTCAAGGGCCAGAGCCCAGAGCTGTCAGCCCTGAATTCTGCACGAGCAAAGCTGAACTGGCAGCTGCCGAATCCTTACTTGAGKATCCAGATTCCAAAAGACAAAACCCCCAAATTAAAAAGGATCAGACTAGTGAATGAGCCTATTCCAGARCCCAGTGATGCCCAAGAGAGGCTGTAATGACTCAAGCCCTTTGCAAAAGGCAGAGATGCTGGGGGCTGTGCACATAGCAAATTTCCAGCTCTTTCTACAGCCTCCTGCAGGGGTGCACCCAAAGGCTGCTGTGGCCAGCAGTGCCATGCCAGGCTCTGCTTAGGAAAGCCCTTCTTCTCCAGCACTAAGGTGGATGACCTGCAATTTTAGCATATGCCTTTTTTTTCTAGCTATTTCATGCACAAGTGGTGACTTTTTTTTTTTTTGTGTGATTCAATGTCATAAGAAAGCTGGATGTTCATCCAGCTTTGCATAAACAAGCCTGTGCCAGCAGCAGCAGAATTCAATGTGATCAGACTCTTCCTCAGCTACTGCCCAGGTCAGCAGCGAGTTACTGCCTGCTGCGTTTGTGTGCAAAACATTGCAAGAAAATTAATTCTGAGGAAGACCAGATTATCTCAAAGACTAGGCAGCCTGG